GAAATCCTGAACCAGTTACTCAAAGAAAATACACAAACCTTCACGTAGGAACGAGTTTCTCTCACCTAACAGCTGATGGAAGCTGGCAGCAAGCTGAAATTTAAGCTCAGCTTAGGGCAGCAGCATTAATGTTTACATCGTGTCACACTGCCATGAGCGCGAGCCCCTCCTCACGGTTGAAAGCACCCTTGCTTCTGCACAGCGGTACAGTTCACATTCTCGAAGATAGCTCCATCATATTTAAGGGAAAGCAGACATCTCTGATAACTCCAACACTGGGAGCTCACAGCAGAAACAGTGTGGATAAACAGCAGCACAGCTCAGAGGAAAAACCCTGGATTTCGTGGTGAACTACCCCTTTAAGAACTGCTTCATGGAAACGTCACTGCATCATTTCATCATCGCTGCTATCGGTGAAACAGTCTTGATTCACTGAACGACTGCAGGTGTAATAGTAGAGCCAGATGTGCTGAAAATCCTTTCCCACTATTTGCATCTCTACATGCGTGTTTCTGTAATGCTGGGCGAAACTATTACACAAAAGCATCTGTTTTCATGTAGATTCCCACACTGTAGATGGTTTTGAAGTTTAACCATCCATTTATGATCTTATGCTTATTTAATTGAGGCAATGCGAGCTCGCTGGACAGGTCACCAATCGCTCGCTCGCGTCCTGAGATTCACCAGGCTGAACCCACGCTGACAGAATGTGCAAACAAAACAGGACAAACCTGGATTCAAACCCAGCACCTCCTTACTGTGAGGCAACAGTGCTAACCACCTCACCACCTGCCACGCATGTTGATGTTTATTTCTACACATAATATTCTCGAGCACAGATGGGAACAATAAACATCTCACAGCCTAGTTCATGTCACAGAAACCTTTGGAAGCATTGGGCTATTATGTCTGCTGTTAAGTTACTGTCCCTGCACTGTGGGAAGCACGGGGACTTTCTATAAACTCATCTCTTCTTTCATTAAACTTAATAAACATATCGAGTCAAACAAAGCCAACATCTGAATAAAACTGGGATTCCTCTGATCTGACGATTAAAAACACAGTGTCAGACGTCTGATCAAGCATTCAATGCTTTCTGCACAGCTCTGCATACTTGACACTATTTAGATTTGTCCTACACATGTGTGTCTAGCCAGCTTTAAAGCCCTAGTTTCTTCTCTTTGCCCCGGCGCTGCCTCTAGCTAGTCGAGCCACCGTAAAGTTGAACTCATCTCCATTTCACTGGCCCTCCAACAGCCTGTAACCCATTCAAGGACCACTGAGTGCCACCCTCTCAACTGGATGACAGGTTGCTCTTCCATTCGGCAGCTGCCTGCTCAGGTTACCTCGACCAAGAGTGGAAAGAAGGTCTCATCTGCTGACAGCCCACTGCTCCACTGCATCACTCTGCAGCAGCACTCAGGAGGCACAGGCTGTCTCTGCACCCCGCATGCAGGAAAACAATCCTGCCTTGGCAGCTGAGGCTCCCTGTTCCAGCTAATATTGTGGTCTGATCCAAAAATAGCCTGACTTGTAAATCTTGCAAAGAGACAACTAAGATATGGGATGTTCAAATCCACTGTCAGAGGCACGGAGTATTAACATGAAGCAGGCTGGTTCTGATTATCCTTTGTAAAGAAGAAGGAGGGAAAAGTCGATTTTATGATGTACTTTTTTCTTGCAGACTCCAATACAAGAACAGCACCGGAGACCAAAATACAATGAAATGTGAGGAGGTGTGAACCGAGAAAAGGCAAACACTGCGAGCTCAAAGCAGATTAAACATGCACCTGTCCTCGAGTCTGTCCAATAGCATGGAAACTGACACTGAGGTGCACGACGCGGTGTGCAATAGTGCAGTCCACCTGCAATAGTTCGGAAATCCCGAGGAAAGTGATCTCGAAGGTAAACAACCTTAAACCAGAGGAGATGACTGACAAGAGAGAACCCCCTTCAATAAAAATAGGCTAACTATCAGCCAATCAAGGCCCGTGAGCTGCGTGTGAGGATAGTATGGACGACAACAGCTGCCCAGAGGGAACAAATGGGCTCATAACAGGAGGCAGGCTACTGGGCTAAACAGACAATAACCGACCAGAAGGTCATAACTCGGATGTGCCAAAGTGGCCATTTTTCCTGAACACCTATTATCACAGCAGTGAATTTTGGAAACAGCACGAAATGCCAGTCAGAGCCATCGTTTACAGGCCTGCTGCCTGACCAGGTGTTGATTTTGGGACGCCCTCGTGGAGACAAAAGAACCGTGCCACCGCGAGGTGCGCGACGGCAGTGCGCCTCTTGTCTCGTTTTCCAACAGCGTCGCCTTCACCTGTCCTTCCCCTCCGCCTCCTCTCACTCACCCAGCACGCCGGAGGAGGTCTGTGGCGGAGCCGAGCCTGGATCCGGCCTCTCTGCGTCTCCTTGCGGCGCTCGGTGTCGGTGCCGGGAACTCTCGGGGCCGTCCCCGGAGGTGGTCGCGCCACCGGCGGCCGCCCCGGCTGCAGCAGCGCCCGCCGCTGCCGTCCCCGTGTCGGGCATGCTCTCTATCAGCGAGGAGCGACTGAGGATAAAGGTATTCTCCGGGAAATCGTGCAGCGGTGTCGCATCTCAAGAGGAAGGCAAAGCATGGGTGTAGCGTGGGGGTCAGAGTGGGGGTTAAATGAGAATGAAAGTGAAGTGAAGGTTGTTGGCGCAGCGGCGGATCATCCTGGTGGTACTCTGGAGCAGGATGCGCGGTTAGATGGAGAGCGCTCCTCCAACCACTACAGGAGGAGGGACAAAGAGAGAGAGTGAGGGAGGGGTGGATGGAGGGGGCTGTGTGACACACATGCACCTTCACGGTCGCTGACTGATTGTTGTCTCAGATTACATTACCAAAATTGTTAAATGTAACAAACCCGCACTACGCACGCTGTAGGAATTAAAAAAATCTGTCTGTTAGGATCATTTTATGCATGCATGTAATAGCGGTTCCTCCATCTCTGAGAGAAGTGTATTTTTATCACCTCGCAGGCTGCAGATCGAGGCCAAAAATAGAATCCAAATGGCTACATTAAAGGAAAACTCATTCAAAATGCATGGTTTTCACAGTGATGACATTACTTCACAGGCAAGATGCCCAATCAGATGATCTGGTGCTCTTAATGTGCACGCCTTTGATAATCCTTTCATAGACTATCACTCTTCTTTGACTATGATGGGAAAACTGAAGAAGCTGTGCAAAAAATATCTTCATGGATTAAATTTTTAGTGACACTTGGGTGTGGCTACCGGTAATATCGCTTCTCAGTCAAACACTCTACAGTAAACACGGCGTGGGGCTGTGTAATGTTTGCTTTGCTGCTTAATAAGCTTGGTCATTCCATCACTGTATCGCTAAGGCCAGTTTACATGGTCACACTGTCTTGAAAAGAGAGCAAAGAGCAGTCCTCCACCCTAAAGAGACACACGGCCCTCAAAATAAATGTTGTTACAGCAGAGCGAGTCAGATGATCCTCTGCAGGTAAAATATGTGCTTTGTCTTAAATTGCTGTGTCTGCCCCTTTTCAACCTGTGGGGGAGTTGCTAAAGCATATGTTAGGAGTGCTTGTGTGTGCAAGGAAGGTGAACACAGCTATCGTTGTAGACAAAGATCATTTCATAACCTGGAATCATAATCGGGGCTGAGAGGTAACTGTCTCTGTTTGGACTGTATTCGGCAGCTGTGAGGTGGCAGCTGTCATGCTCTGTGCACACACTGAGCAGTCTATAAATTATTTAGATCCCAGGTTAAAGATTGCTCCCAGGCCTTGGGCCATGCCTCTTCACCGTGTACACAATCTATCATCTTGGTCGTCCCTCCTGGAGGCCGTGGTTCACTGTGCGGCTACAGAGGCAGGCTGGCAGCCCGCCCCCTCGTATGGCTCAGAAGCATCTCATCTGTGAGCACAAATTCTGCTTACTCACCACTCTCTGGGATGACAGCTGCAAGACGCTGCAGTGGGGCGCGCACACACACACACACTGATGCACACAGTCTCTGTTTATATTCTGTTACATGCACGCATTTATGTAGACTATGAAGAACCACAGATCAAAGCACTGTCAGTTTTAATAGACAGAACACAATCTAAACAAATACTGTAAAACTTATCATTTGAAATAAATTAAAAATAGTAGTGCTGTAAGAATAACCCTGTTTGCACTGCTGTTGATTCTCACACACTAAGGAATACCTTCCACCTTGTGCTGAAAAAAGCAAAACTTGACTGCTGATTTGTTTCCTGGTTAACATGTGCATTCTGCATAATGTGCCAGAGGTGTTTCCCCCAGTCTTTGATGATTTGGTAAGTAAATTGGCAGTAAAACAAACTGTGGTCTGTCCTGAACTGAATTTTACATCCTCCTTTTTCCATATACTAACCACAAAACAAAGGTGACAGACATGTTGGCACGTACATCGCACAAACAGTAGATCCTTTGATAGCAGGTGCATCACTGAGTTAATCATTTGAGTTCATGTAAACATAAGTTTAAAAAAAAACAGTAGTGATAAAAAGTGAAACGTTTATAGCCGCAATAAGAACGATATTAGCTACATACACAAAAAGTAAAACATTGGAATTTGCAGCAATGATCGATGTACACCAATGACAGTGTTAATGAACCTTTTTGTGGCCTAAATCACATAAAATCCCTTCATATTAGAGGAAGATTTGTAAATATCACAACACAATTTCAAGTTAAACAAGACAACAAGAGTTATTTTCATGCTTTATTTCATGCAAAGCTACTTTTGTGGGGGGACAAAAGATTACTGTCAAACAGATTCCTTCCACAAAATAACCAACATTTTATATTTTAATGTTTAAATGGATGTATTTGTTTAACGTGATATAAAACAACAAAAAAGGCTGAAAATCAGACCTTTGATCCCGGAACGATCATATTTGAAATAGTCACACGGACCGAATTTTCAGCGTACGATGGGCGTGGCTTAAGATAGATTGACAAGCGTCGAACAAACGGGAGTGCTTAATCTGCTGTCGTTGTGAGAAACGCTAACCAATCGAAATCAAGAGTGGGAGGAGCTACATAAATGTGACTGAAAGATGGGAAGGAAAAGTCACGAGTGAGATGAGTGTGTAAATTATACTTTAATATAACATAAGATAAGACGCAAAAGAGTGAATGTCCGGATTTGGCAGCTAACATTAGCTTCACAGACACTCCGACGTTAACTGAAAAGAAGCAAAGTGGAAATAATGTGTTGGGTGTCGGTCTGTAGGAGAAGCGGCAAATAAATGAAACGTTTGGTCTCCCATACTGATGCTGCCGCTGCGGCCCGTGTGTGGTGGGATATGGAGAGCTGCTGTGCACACAGTCAGGATGAGGTTTGTTCTGTTTCCCGGCCTCTATGTCAAATTCATGTCTTTATTTTTATGGCTGCATTCACAGAAGCAAAATAGTGCTATTAAAATATAGATTTCTTTGGGCACTTTTCATTATTTACCCACTCAAGTTTAATGCTTGTTGTTACACTAACTTAACTTGCATTGTTGTTTATTTAAGTGCTCATTTATAACTTTGATTTTGAGTTTAAATAATATAATAGAGATATAATAACTGAAAACAAGATGTAGAATATGTTATAGTATGAATCAGTCATTTTCTTATTTCCAGCCGTGGAGCTCCACCCTACAGGCTCCTCTCCTCTACCTGTGATGGAGCCCCAGCTGCACTGGCTGATGCTGACACCATCTTTGCGCTGTCGTCCGGGCACGGCAGGTGCGGGGTGGCAGTGGTACGTGTCAGCGGTCCCGCCTCAGCTACAGCCCTGAGGTGTATGGCTGGGTTCACGCAGCGTCTGCCCCCTCCACGCACCGCCCTGTTACGCAGCATCACAGACCCCCGCTCCACAGAAGTGCTGGACCGTGGGCTCGTCCTGTGGTTTCCAGGTCAGTTCCACTGGACCGTTCTAACATTTTGTTCTTCTCTGTTTTTGTCTGAGAATATGAGGATGTGGATATGTTTTTGTTTAGAAGCACATAAGTTACATCCATGTCCAAAGGTTTATCAGCATGTCCCAGATATGTAGACAGACTCGTACTTAATTATGAAAACAAGGAAGTATTCCCTCAGCCAGTGTTATTGTTTTACATATCAGCACACAATATAAAAACGATGTAGTGTTTGCCAGGCAATAAAAGTAGGTAAATACAACCTGAGATGAATAATGGCTTATGATGTATTACACAGTGTCGTTATTCCTCAGGCAGGGACCACACCTTAGTTCTGATTAAACAGTGCTTATTGAAACAGGATGATGGATGGAGCGAGCAAAGATCTTGATTGATGCTGCGGTTTGGGAAAGGCCTCAAAGAGGATCAGCAGTTTCTTCTAAGTCCTGGGTACCAACAAGAGGAGAGGGTGGGTGGGGTTGGGATGCTAAGCCAAAATATAGAAGCAGTGTGTGAAAAACTAACTACGCTCCATGATTCAGGAACTGGTAGAACCCCATTTAGCAGCAATAGCTTGAAGTATTGTTGTGGAGGATTATAGGCTCACTCTTCTTTTCAAATGTGCTTCAGTTCACTGATGTTTGTGGCTATTTATTAAGCCACAAGGCTGTAAAACAAGCCCAAACCTTCATCACTCCATCACTGTGCTGAAGTATTTGTGCTAAGATGCTGTTGGTCTCATCTGCCTAAAGCACATTGTCGCAGAAGGCTTGTGTTTGGCAGATGCAGCCATGCAAACCAAACATGCTAACTGAGTCTGAGACGTAGTTCTTTGTTTAGTTTTTTCCCCCATTTCTCTGAACACGACCTGAGCTTGGACTGACTTTGGTGGAAGGTCTACGCCTGAGAAGTGGAGCATCTGCCTCGAATGGTTTCCACTCGTGAAATAAGGTTTTTCACTGCATTGTTTGGAAATAGCGTGTAGAGGCTAAACGGTGGAAATAGAGCGGTGGCTGCTTTACCGGTGGGACACATTCTCTAAACAACATGACAGAGTTTGGTAAAACCACGTCATTTCTCACTAACCCACAACCATAGCTGCTGTGTTTGATCTAAAACCAGTAATAAATCTTTCCAGCATCTCACGTCCTGCCCGTTATTCACTTCAGTTCTCTTTACATATTTAAATAACTAAAGGATGCACAGAGTGTTGTTATTCCTTTGTTTGTTTCATCAGCTCCTCGTAGTTTCTCCGGAGAAGATAGCGTGGAGTTCCATATCCACGGAGGTCCCGCTGTCGTTACTGCTGTCTTACAGGCTCTTGGTAAGATGTGATTCTCAGTATAATGTTTTAAAAAACTTGATATAATTCAATGTGACAAGCAAACATATCCAGACTTGAGATGCAGCCGTCCCTTTGAAGAGCGTTTTGAAGTTTGAGTCTTTGTAGCTTCCTGAGCTCTAAGCCTCCGTAAGTACGATATCTGTTGGAGTCAGGCGGCCATCCATCACTGCGACTTAAAACAGAGAACTGACGCATGCATCGCCGCGTCTGAGATACTTTTAATATGCGCTGTGGCAAGCGTGACAGTCCTCCTGTGCTTGATGTTTTTACTGCAGTGCTCCTGTTGACCTCCCAGGGGGCAGCATTGTACAAAGCAGAGAGTTTATGTGCTGTAAGGTGTTTTTTTCTAAGCAGGGAGGAATATTTAATATTACATTACCTTTGTTTTCAAGGTTCATTCACATAAAATTGTTGCCTTCATTTGGAAACCAAAAACACCGAGCGTGTCGGTGAGATCAGTCGGGTGAAATGTCTGTAATCAGGAGACGGTGACCCACGTTTGGTTTTGCACTCACTATTGTCTCTCCTGATGAGATTTGCAAAGTGTCTGAGAAAACAATGAACCTACTTAACCTGTAGTTGTGCCTGTTTTTGCTCTCTGCGTGAGTCATTGACCTTATGTTTTGTCCTCAGTGTGTGCATTGTGTGCGCACACGTCTCAAACATTTCTTCATATTTGTGTTTACGTGTGTTTTTCAGGAAGCGTGCCTGGCTTGAGGCCGGCCGAAGCGGGGGAGTTCACGCGGAGAGCTTTTCAAGCAGGGAAACTCGGTTTAACGGAGGCGAGTGGAGAGGAATGTGTAAAACACATTGTTGTGCATCTAGAGTTATTATAGCGGCTGTTCGGGGATTTCATATGCATGAAATGTAAACAGGGACAACTTCTCCTTTTGCGTATTTTGCCCTTTGGCGATTTTATTTCATTGAGTTGTCTGATATTCCCACATTAATGCAACAACTGGGCCTCTGTAGATGTTTTTTTTAATATACAGCCTGAAGCATTAATAAAAGTCTGTTTGGATTTTCTGTGAAGCGTAAAAACCAATATATTAACCTCACACAGGACATTGGATATGAATAACACGTACGAACAATTTAATAACGTTTTTAACGGACTGTTTTGAGAGGAAAAGTAAAATAGCAGATGAACCAAACGCTCGCAGGACTTTCAGATAAGATGAGTTTTATTGGTGCTGAAAGGAATTTGGCATCAGTGTCTAAGCTGTGGCAGCGACATCCCTCTCTAAACAGCAGCAGGATGCACTTTCCTGTAGATAACACCTAATGGACATAATAAGGGAAAAACACTTGATGAAACAGCCCGCACCACTTCTGAAAACTGTTGTCAGTGAACACAATTCATTTTAAAATTGGTGTTGGAAAAGATGATGGGACACGTTAAAGTTTGCAGATATGTTTTTTGGAAATCGTGGGCGCCAAAATGGGTTCTGCACGTATCCCAGCAGCCAGACTCTGGGTGCTGAACAGGCCTGAAGACCCACATCTGCGTATTCAATGGGCTGCATTACATATATTTATATACGCCTCAGCCATAAAGGGCTGAGTGGGGGGGGGGTCAGACGAGTTCAGTGTCTTCGACCAAAAGGTCAAAGGTCAGAGGTCAAGTTTCCTGAAAATCCAGTGACTGCGATAACTTGAAAACAGGTCAATGTAGGATTGTGAAACTGTTGCTAGCACAGGGATGTCTGCTGGGAGGCTGAAGGGAAGCGCTGGGTGTTCCCAGTATTTTATACCCTAAAACTCCTGCAGTTTGTGAAAGATGTCGGCTTCATCAAAACCAAAAAATTATTAGTTATGTTGTGTTATGTTAAAAAATAATAACAATGACATTTCTAACTTTTAACATTTGATATGTTGTGTTTAAATACTCTTTGAATGATTTGGAAATTATTGAATTTTTCACTTTATTTTAAACTTTTTGGGAGAAACGTTTGTTATGACAGGAGACAGAAAGGATGTGTACACATTAAACATTCCAGTATAAGGATATATGTAACATATGGTGTGTGATTCATAGGTGGAGGGGCTTGGGGATCTGATCCACGCAGAGACAGAGGCCCAGAGGAGGCAGGCTCTTAGACAGATGTCAGGCGAACTGGGACGCCTGTATCAGGACTGGAGCGACAGACTGAAACGGGTACGTCCTCTGGTAGAAAAGCAGCTGGCTTGAAGAAGTATTTGCCCGTTTTCATGATGTTTTAGTTATTTCGGTGTCACACATACATATTTAATTCATTTACACCTGCCGGACCTGCTGAATCGAGAGAAAATGAAGTAGTATAAAAGATCTGAAAGAGAAACTGCTGAGAAACAAAGTCAGCTTGGAAAGAGTCGCAGAGCATCGTCTTTCAGTTGCGGGGAACAACCCAGGAGTGACCGGCCGACCAAAATTACTCACATCGACGACTCATCCAGGAGGAAGAACATCTAGAGAGCTGCGGGGCTCATGTGGGAAAATGAATTGAGGACCTATCCTGATGAGTCAAAAGCTGGACTTTTTGGAGTATTTGAGGTCATCCACGTCGCCCCAGCCGGTCACAGCAGATGGCTCCGCCCCTCCCTGAGCCTGGTTCTGCTGGAGGTTTCTTCCTGTTAAAAGGGAGTTTTTCCTTCCCACTGTCGCCAAAGTGCTTGCTCTGATGTTGTTGGGTTTTCCTCTGTGTGTATTATTGTAGGGTCTACCTTACAATATAAAGCACGTTGCGGCGCCTGTATAAATAAAGCTGAATTGCATTGAATTGAAAAACTGACGCGGCGATTCAGTCAAACCTGGTGGTGGTCGTGTGATGGTCTGGAGCTGAAACCATGAATTCTGCCGCCTACAAGAAAATCCTAAACTTGCTCCGGTCTTCAGCTGGACTGGACGCAGCAGCTTTGACACCCGGTCTCTCCTCCTCGCGTCTCTGCACAAACAGAAAGCATCTGTTTTAACTCATTCCGAGTTAGCTTGGCACCTGAAACGAGGGGAACTTCTGGAGTTTTCCCAGAAGAAACTCAGGAAAGAACCTGTCCGGACTGTGCTGTAGGTCGGGATTCACTTGCTTCGTACCAACACAATGCATTTTTTGTACCTCCAAGACTGCAGTGTTGATGCAGCAACCTATGGGAGTCTGAGGCTTCCTGTTTTCAAGTTGCTGCAGTCCGTGTGTTTCTGTTCAATGCTTGGATTCAAAGTGATAGTCTTTCCAGGGCACATGTACACAAAGTACTTTTAAAATATTAAAGTCAGTTCAGTTTGACCTCGCAGACATGGAATTAAAAGAAAATCATATGAATCCAATCAGCCAGCGTAACAGTTAAACAGAAGGTTTCTAAAGTCTTAATAACTTTTTTAAATGATTGAACTTTTCTCACAGATACGGATAAAATGCTCAGACAGGAGAGTCAGCAGCGGTCGAGTGAGTAACGGCAGCGTTTCCTCGGATCAGTGATGTGATTCACTTTCCAGAGAAAACTGTAATTTTTAGCATTCGTGGCATCAGACCTGTGTTAAGATTTTTATTTCCTGAGGAAAAGTGTGATATTAGTGAGCAGACAAAGCGGCACATCTGTCGCTTTAGAAAAGTGGTTAAAACCTGCTGCAGTGTTTACTGAACGTCTGAAGCATGGCTAACGTTTATCTGAAAATGACCACGGTCGAATAAAAGCATGATACAGTACGTGCAGCGGTATTGTTCTTCTTATCTGTGTGAAGTATCCTGTGTGTGTCATAAATCAGTAGGTGTAGCTCAGGTTGGGAGAAATGAACGCAAATTTAAATCCCAGGTTAGACCGTTTTTGCTCCGATACTGTAGCTCGGTGCCTCAGTTTGCTTTATTATTTCTAAAGATTTAAAAAGCAACGATGTTCATTTGTGGTTGAGTTGATGCATGCAGTCCAAAATGATAAAGAAGTCATTGTGAGTCGAGCCCAAAGTTAAAGGACGCTGACGTGTTGCCGTGCGTTTGTGTAATCCTGACCTGATTGTGGTTTTTGTTGGCGTTTTGTGGAGGCAGCTCACAGGAGAAGGTCGCTGACCGCGGATGAACACTTGAACTCGCTGGATGTGGGCCAAGCCCTTTTGTACTCTGACCTGTTTTGAAAAGCATAAAACGTTGGTCTTTCAATACTTTGGCACCAGACCTGACCAGCCGGTCCAGGTGTTCTCCCCTGAGAAAACCTTCTTAATTTGCTTGTTGGCAGCTGCTGAGCTCGGTTCCCAGAAGCTTTTAAAACACGGCTTTATTTTGGACGCGCATTTCTGAGAAGATTGCTAATAAAAAAGTATCCTATATGTTCATGTTGGTGGAGGTCAAACCTGCATTTGACACTAAACAATGCGGCTTTTTTAACCATAGGTTTCCCACATTTAGAAATTGATTCAACTGTGGGAATCTGATGCTTCCTGTTTTTCTGGAGCTATATCGCTATTGTGTTTATGTTCCACAGTGTCAGTGAAGATACTGATCTTGGTGGAAATGCTGAAGCTTTTCTCTATACAGAGCTGTTCCTGAGCTTAAATCTGGCAGTGAAGCAAACCTACAGAAAGACTCAGCAAAAGGGATTTATGTTCATATCTGCAGATAAGTGACGTGAATAACTGGACGGCTCAAAAGGAGAGAGCTTCTTCTTGCTTTTACCTTGAAACTGAACTTACATTGAGTGATATCAGTGACTTACAGGCTTGTTTCTGAATGACATCACTGCAGGCACAGCGACCTGCTGTTCACGAGTCTCCGGCTCTCTGTCGTGTATTTTTCTGGCCTGGTGTCACATTTCATGTAAATAAGCTTTGCAGTAAAAATAGAAAAAGTAGCTTCATTTTTGTAAGACTCCTCCAGAAATGTTATGCTTAAGTCGTTGAAGGAGCTGAGCTTTAGCTCCCTGATTTCACCCCTCCCCTCCCTGTGTCTTCACAGTGTTTGGCCCACGTCGAGGCCTTCATAGACTTCAGCGAGGATGAGCTCATTGAGGACGGGGTCTTGAACCGAGGTACCTGTGCACTTTGACCTTTACGAAACAGCAACAGGGCAGTCATGCTTTGGGGTTTAAAGGGGTTAAAGGGAGAGAGGAGTCCGACTGCTCTTCCTGTTATGAGCTCTAAGTGGCAATTTTTCCGAGGGTCATTTTCTTAGGATGTGTTGAGAGGACGGCCAGAAGGGCAGTTGAGGCATTTCAAAAACAAGCCTACTCCCAGGAAGAGTGCCGTCAGCGGCCCGACTGGGTTTCCTATCCTCTCAGCAGACCTGAGAGGGAGCGACCTCCCCTGTGAGTGTCGCCGGTCGTCTGGCACTGTCAGATTCTTTCATTAGTCTCAAATGTTTTGAGATTTGAGCACAAAGCCTGGGAACGGGTGTTTGTTTTGGTGGTGACTAATGTTGGCTCATGCCACAGAGCGGAAAATAATAATAGACTTAATAATAGACTTTCAAAAATAGGAAAGGTGGTATAAATACTTTGCTTTTCCACCTGCAAAGATTTATCTGACATCGTGTTCATTTTTACCTTCAAAGTGGCCAAAATTTGAGTGAAGTACTTTGTCCATCGAAGAGTTTTAAGGAAAAAGAGGACAGCAATGTATTTTATAATGCCTCTGTGTCTGTGCTGATCCCCTCATAGTGGACGTGTCAGTAAGTGATCTGCAAGCGGAGATTGAGCGACACCTGAAGGACGAGAGACGGGGCGAGCGGCTTCGCAGCGGGGTCCAGGTGGTGATCGCGGGAGCTACGAATGCAGGAAAAAGTAGCCTTCTTAACAAACTCTGTAAGAGAGCCGGAGTCGGACACACCCTCACATACAGCCAAAGGATCAAATTATAATGTACAAAGAATATTTTTAATATATATTTTGATGGCGAATCAGGGAAAAAGATATCTGTCATCTCAGAAGTCAGAGGAAGTCTGTGCTGCGTCCCATCAAGCACAAGAAACCTGGTTTTTCCTTCTCATCAGAAGTTTTTAGCATCTGTTTGAAAAGTGCAAAAGTTTCTGATGGATCGATCCGGCTCATCCAGTGCAGCATCAGGAACGACTTTAGAGTCAGAGACGAGCCGATCACGGCCCAGCGTCACTGTGACCACAGTGAACATGTTTGTGAATGAAAACGTGGACAGCTTGGTTACATTTTATATCCAGAAGTCAACGTTCAGCTTCACTGTGACATCAGCATGGTGATATATTTAAAACCATAATTCAGACTTGGGCTGGGTTTAAATATCGATTTCCTGATTCAAATCATTTTTAGTTTGAATGAAGCGATATCGATTCATTAAATGTATTTTACCAGAAACGCCGGAATCTCAGGTTAAAGCTCACAAAACAATTTAAAACAGCAAATGAGGGCAGCTACACGGATCCACACAAGGATGCAAACACGAGTGTGGACCGTTCACCCGACAGCACGGACACGCCGTCGGGGCTGAAAGTCGACGTCTCAGATTCTGAAGCTGCAGGTTTCGTCACTCTGACCAAAACTGACTGAAGCAGCAAAAGAAGATGAAAACTTCTCGTCATTATTCTCTCTGACTTTGGCTGTTTTGTTTTCACCACGATAAAAGTCTCACTTCCTGCACAGCTCTCTCTCTCAGTGTACTCGGAGACCAGTTTACCATCAAAATCTCTGCTTTCTGCATTATTCACTGATTATTACGCACAAGTCTGCTGTTGTGTTCAGAGCTGTCGGCCTCATTTCTGCTGTTCAATCCAGAGGAAATGTAAACTTTTTAAAATTCTGCCTCTGTAACTTTGCTTCACCTCAGCAGCATCAGGTAACGTTCACATGTTGATTCATGGTTTTCTTCAGTTTTTGATTTACTGCAGAATATTTTTAAGGTCATCTGCTATAAAAAGCCAGGCCTGTGTTTTATCCTCAGTCACACAAAGTTACAGCTCTGATGAAGTGTCAGCTTTGTTTTTATACATAGAAGTCGATGCTCAGCCCTGATTCAGAACCAAAGAGGAGATTGTGACCATGTTTCATATTTGGTTGGATAAAGAGTTGGTGACTTACCTTTGTGCCCAGTTCCTTCAGTTCAATCCTTCATATTCTTCACTAATGTGAAAGAATAATAATGAAAGGAGTCTGGATGGAAACATAAATGCACCTGAGAGCTTTCACACCTTTACGCTGCAGCTTAAGTCAAAGAGTTTGTTCTAGTTTTTGATCAGACAAAACTTTCACCTTTCGTCTAATCAAAAGGTGAAAGTTTTTAACTTCTGTTTTTCATCCCAGATTTTTGTATGAAAGACGGGAACCTTTATCTCTGTTTTACGCTTGTGCTGGTGCTTCAGGTGACAGTGGAGTCAATCTGTAGTAGGGCTGCCACAAAC